ATAGGATTAACGGTGAATCTTAGTAAGATCGTACAAACTCAATTCAGTAAAAAATCTGAGCAAGAGCGTGAACAAATCTTGGATAGAATCCTGAAACAAATCTGACAGGATCCTTGAGATTTATGATTCTGAAAGATCCTTCAAGGCTATCTCAAGAAATTGGCATGGCTGAGTGGACTAAGCAGTAACCTGTAAAGATCTCTTTTAAATCCTTTACATGCTCTTATCAAGATCGTGATTAGAATTGACATTGTCTTGGAAGTTTTGGAAACGCATATTCTTGAAAAAGTTCTGAACAAGATCCTGATTGAAGCGTTGCAGGATTAGCCTGTTTCATATTCTGACGGATCTTATTATTTTCTTGCTAGGATCCTCGTCTGATGTGGCTATCACTCTTGACAGGATCCTGATACAAAGATTTGACCTAGATCCTGACAAGAACTCGATGCAATCTTGACAGAATCCTCTCTCATTATCTTGAGAGGATCCTTAATAGAACCTTGAGGAAATCCTAATAGGATCTTGTATTGTCAATTCAAAAAAATATCTGACCAGGAACTTGAAGAAATCCTGAAGAGGATCTTGTTTTACCTTAAAAATCCCGGAGACAGGAAATACTAAGGATTTGAAACAGGATCCTGAATAAAACTTAACAAGATCCTTAAAATTCAGGATCCTAAAAGATCCTTCCAAGGTTTCTCAAGGAATGAACAGGATTGAAACTAGGATATCGACGTAAATTATCTGTTCATGTTAATCCATCTTCATTTGCACTTCAAATGCAAACTAATGAAACAGATACTGTTGAAAATAAAGATGAATTAACAAATATTATTCATGGAGAGTCATCTTCAATTATTAATGAAGAAGATGTTGCTGTAACCACTGAGACAAGTCATGAAACAATTCAATCAACTGAAACAGAAAATATTTTAGCTAAACAAGAGATTGATTTACCAGAGGTAAAATTATTATTGATCTATTTTGCTTTACTTTTTTGTTTTTATTTTTTCAGTTTGAATGGATTGACAATGTTTATAGATGGAAAAGTAAATTGTCATGTTATCCACATGATCAATCATATGAGAAACTTGATGTACCTGTTCTCTATAAATTATAAAGAGAATTTTTGTCATCATCATGTTTTTTTTAAAGTTTACCATTATCTTTCAAGATTCATATAATACTTTATTGTTTTTATAGAATTTTTTGAATAAAAACTTTAATTGTAATTGAAATACTTTTACAGGGTGTGGGTGTGGGTGCGAATGGGACTGTAGTCATGCATTCAATCTTTACACACTCACATCCGCACCCTCATCCACACTCACGCCCACACCCACACCCTTCTAGACTCATTTTTTTCATGCTGAATCCGGAAATAACTGGCCCAGAATCAAGACCTACCGAAAATCTGGACAGATATCACAAGAGCGGGGAACATTTTTATGTCATAACTGATGTTTCAGCGAAAACCCTGTAGAATTATCGAAAAAATTGAAGATTATACCTTCAAAGTCATTTTAAAATAATTAAAGCATACATATTCTTGACCAGCTCGTCAAACTGCGTGTATATATAAAAACGAATGGAAAGAGATGGGTTTAATTTGGTCTTATTCGCACGTTACCCTTTAATCAATCGACGC